CAGTAAAGCAAAATCTAACATCCTGTCGACTTCTCATCCACCACGGCTTCGGCCATTTCGGACGACGGAAATATTCACAAGATGGCCGCCGTTCCTAAGGCTCAATACGGACTTTGCGTAGTAGCCGAGTAGGTTACTTTTAAATAAAAACAATTCAATATTTTATATTTTTTTTATTTTCAATAAATATACCTACTATATATATGTATATTATTTATGTATGATATATACATAAATAATATAGATATATATAGTGTATGATATATATATCTAATATGTAAAATTCTCGTGTCACGGTGTGCGTAATTGAGTTCAATTACGCACACCGTAGGAGTAGTTACTCCGATAAGGCTCAACCGATTTTCGTGAAATTTTATTTGCATATTCAGTAGGTCTGAGATACGAACAACATCTATTTTTCATCCCCCTATATATATATATAATATATATTTTATCTTCATGCAGATGATCAGGATGTTGGTTGCTTTCTCCTTATTGGGCCGGCCTGTCGCAACTGTCATTAGGTGCGAAATCTGAAAGACAGTTATATATTTATTAAAATTAGAAAAGCAAGAAAAAAACGCGTCCACATCAAAAAAAATATGAACAAACAAACCACCTCTTTTAAGCACATGAGTAAAAGTAGACCACAAAACATAGCTAAGAGTAAAAAAAGCTTGTTTTTAAGTTTTTTTAGTTTAAAGATGCACATAATCAAGAACTTTAAAACCCCACATTTATAGCTAGTTTTTTTTTGTTGATACCCTTTAGGAAAGCGTAAAAAACTTAGCAGTATAAAAAAGCGGTATTGAATTAAGTTGACGTCACTTTATTTATCGAGTTATTCTCAGCAAGCCTTTTCATTAGATACCCATATTGTAGCAAAACATAAAAAAACTTTGTCCGCCATATTGGATTTAAAGTGACGTCACTTTATTTATCGAGTTATTCTCAGCAAGCCCTTTCATTTGATACCCATATTGTAGCAAAACATAAAAAACTTTGTCCGCCATATTGGATTTAAAGTGACGTCACTTTATTTATCGAGTTATTCTCAGCAAGCCCTTTCATTTGATACCCATATTGTAGCAAAACATAAAAAAACTTTGTCCACCATATTGGATTAAAAGTGACGTCACTTTATTTATCGAGTTATTCTCAGCAAGCCCTTTCATTTGATACCCATATTGTAGCAAAACATAAAAAACTTTGTCCGCCATATTGGATTTAAAGTGACGTCACTTTATTTTTTGAGTTATTCTCATCATGCCCTTTCATTTGATACCCATATTGTAGGAATGCATCGAAAATAGCTAGTCCGCCATCTTGTATGTTCCGCCATATAGGATTTTGAATGACGTCACACAGCTCACCATGCATTATAATCCAAACTAAACGTGTGTACAAAATTTCAGCTCAATCGAATGAAAACAACTGCTTCAAAATTGAGTTGCAAGATTCCAACCGAACAAACGTACATACATAGCAATTAAAAAAAAGATTTCATTAATATTTTACAAAAAACACTTGGTAATAATTTTCGTTCCCAATCTAAAAATTTACAAACGAACAAACAAACTACCACGTAATTATAAGCACACTCCAGATAAAAAAAGCAATTTAAAATTGTTATCTGTAACGACCCTTATTTACTAACAGTACATAGTAGCTGTTACGTCATCGGCGACTCATCGGTAAACAATGAACAATACCCGTCACAAAATACATGAATCTAGTGCTAACTTACATGTTTACTTGATTTTAACTATTGAAATAAGTTTTTTAATTAATTACACGACGTAATTTATCAATAATCAATAACAATTTAGTATTTAACTATTAATTATACGCCATTGAAATCCGCCGAATGTTTATTTTTTTCTATCAACAAATCTTCAGGTTATTTTTATAATTTTCAGATCATTTTGCTCGTGATAATCTTTTGAAAATATGAAAGCCTGTATTATCACAAATATCTGGATATATAATATAACAAAGATAAAAAGGTACTTACGGCATATTTCAACACTAAAAGCAGCACGTTAACACTTTACTTGATCACAATTTACGAAAGAAAATATTGTGTCAGTTTTATTTTTTTTAATTTTTTCCAAAGCAGACTAGGGTGTTCCGGTGATACCAGTACGTTACAAATATCATAAAGATACTGTGCGTAGCTGGCTTGAGGTCCATAAATACAAGTATTCGTTATAGTCTGTAGAAAAAGAGCAGGCCGCGCGGAAATTCGAACGTGGCCACCAAAGAGGCCACGGACTGTTGAGGGGTGCGTGCTCATGGCCACTTTGGAGGCCACGGACTGTCCAGTGGTATGAATTCTTAACGCCTGTCAGTTTCATTATGTAGGATTAATCTGACATATTAATTATCTGACATAATCAGAGAATCACGCCAGAATTGGTACCAATGATGTCGATTCTGGCATGATTCTCTAAAGCTAAACTTAAATTTGACAACATAGTGCATCCTTGTCATTCTCTATACAGAATGAAAAGGAGAGACTGATGTTAAATTTAGTTATAAGTTTAGAGAATCACGCTAGAATCGGCACCAGTGTATCCTTCTGATTCTCATTACGGAATGAAAAGGACAGGTGATGATTTAAGTTAAGGGAATCATGCCAGAATCGACACTAATTACTTTAATTATAAAGGAGATATCTAGCGGCGAGCATCTAAAAATTCCAAATCAAACTAATTGAAAATGTTGCTATACTTAAAACTTTTCTTTTCTAGTAGAATACTTTGTAGCAGGAGTTCTTTTAAAAGGTCTCATATTAATTTTATGTAACGTCATGTTTCTCAGAAACTGCTGTTATGATTCGTAAATGTTTGCATTTAAATTTTGCTTTTACAATTTTTCTTTTACCGTTATTTATTATATTAAAAAAAAATATATAAAAAAAAGTTTTTTGATGTTTTTTAAAACCACGATACAAGCGAACTTTATAATTATAAAAAAGTCCTTCCTCTGCTGGGAATCGAATCCAGACCACCCGCGTAGCATTCAAATTTTCTAACATTTTTTTTAAATATTAATATTATTAAAAATGTAATTTCGCCAAAATCTGTTTCGTTCCTGTTTAGCAAATTGCATAAAGGGGAACTAAAATTTTTTGGCGATGTAATGACAGATTCATTTTATTTAAATTTCCAGTACTTTTTTCCAATTTTTATACAAAATTTTTTTTGACTTACGGTTGTCCATATTCTTTATTTACCACTGATCAAATCAAAGAGGAGATTATTCTTAAAAACATCTTTTTAACATCAATCTGCTTTAATATACTTTATAAACAGAGATTTTAATTATATGAATCGAAACATGTTAGTAGAGAAATTTCGGCACGACCGTTAGGGCTGCGGTAGTTTATACCTACTACGTAAGTAATTGGTCAGTGTATTCGCCCGGATAGAGAAGGTTGCGGGATCGAGTTCTATCTGCTACCTGGTCCGCGTCGAGTTGTTTCTGGTAAACTTTTCTTTAGATTTAAAATAATGCAAATTAGTTATCCATATATTGATTCAAAGAGTACTTATGGGTGTTCCTCAACGGTATACCGTCTCTACTCTTCATATCTTAACATGTTGGTTTGCTTTAATTAAGACAAATACGCTTACCTACTCAGGTGAAGCGTAATGCTAGATTAAGTTTATATCATGCTAGTAGCATGGTAGTTTTTTCTTTTTTGTAGTGGTCTCACCAACTGTCTCTGTCTTTCACCAACAAATCCAACAATGGCCGGAAAGTTGATGGAAAGCGGCAAATAGTGATCGCATTTTCTTTATTTTTCTAATAACATGAGAGTTTAAAGACAAAATGAATCGTCAAATTAATTCTAAAATAGATAAGAATTCCATTTACGAACTATACAGAGCATGTCGGCTTTGTGGTGCTGGTGCTGGCTACAAAATGCCAATAATTCAGAACGTCATTGATGCAGACGGCGATGAAGTGGATTTGAAACAGAAAATACGAGAATGTGTCCAAATAGAGGTAATTAAAACAATATTCGACAAAAATACATTCATCGGTACATGGTCCAGTTACCAGAAATTAGTTTTAAATAGGTTTTTTTAAGATCACTGTAAAAGTAGGTTAAGTGCACTGTTGTCAAACAAAACTACTGTAGACATAAAACGATAGATTGGTTCTGATCACGATTACAGTGGTAACCTTTTTATGGAACATTCTAAGAACTTTAATAGCCTGCGCAGACGAGGGACTTCCGTTTGTGGACATTATTTTCCGCCTAAATTGATCGCTTACAAATGTATCGCGTAACGCATACGACGGATCAAAGTACCGCGTACAAAAAGTCCCCTGAACGACCGAGGACACCGAAAGACCGCACAGGACAAAAGTACGCGGGAGTCCCCAAAAAAATAGAACTTGTTTGACTAGGCGCAGCAACGCAAACAGTGAAATTTAGCCTGTGTTGCGACGATAGGATTTAAAATAATAGACCCATTCAGTATTCTCTTCTAAAACATCTTTGTTTCTCAAACTTCATGATAATTACAACACAACATAATCCGAGAATATTTACTTTCCAAGTTTTCAAAAATTTCAGGTGATAAATGTTCATTTAATGTGTGAATTGAGTCTGGGACAAGTCCTCCGTCGACATTTTTTTTACAATCTACAAGTATTGCCCTCCGCAGGCTAAAGTTTCTTGTCTGCACAGGCCATAATATTTTAATAATATAAGTTTCCAAAACTGAAATCAATATTTCTTTCAAAAAACTTTATGTTACTGTATTTGACTGTTATTCCTATTTCATGAATAGACTTCTTTTTTCCACATCAATAGATTCCTTCTTACCATAACACTTGGGTCAAAGCGAATTTTTCTTAAGTCTCTACATTATAAGTTATATCTCCTGGTGAATTTATTTATTGGGCAACTTTCTTCTTCATTTTGATTGTGCAGCTAAGTAAATTAAAAGATTTTCTACTATATTGAATTTTGTTCTTTATAGGTACATCAAGATGATAAGATGCCTCCTTTAATCTGCGAACTCTGTGTGGACAAAGTGAACGACTTCTATGTGTTCCTGGATTTGTGTCGACAAACCAATAAGAGGACTCGGCAAAGACTCGGTCTGCCAATGCAGTCGACACATAAAGGAAACGTAAGATTTCCCTCTCTTTGCATGAAAATAATTGCAACATTTTGTTATTTGAATATGCTTTGTTTTTAGAATTAGGTCAAATTAGGACAAAATTTTCTATTAAGTTTATTCAGCTGGATTTCGAGTATAATTTATGGTTGTGAGTATAAGAAACTCAAAGGAGTTAGACAACCATAACTTTTTTAATCATCATCATCAGCCTATTAATGTCCCCACTGCTGGGGCACAGGCCTTCCCTATGGATGGAATAGGGAGATTGGGCCATGACCCACCACGCGGGCCCAGAGCGGACCAACGGCTTAACGTGCCTTCCGAAGCACGGATTAGCTCGAGATAGTAAATTTTTGGTCACCCATCCAAAGACCGACCACTGCGAAGGTTGCTTTAACTCAACGATTGCAGCCGAACGCGTTAACCACTTGCGCCATCGAGCTCCTCAATCCTTTTTTAATACATTTGGTCAGTGTTTCAGAAATCAAATAAATAAACTTATTTTTGTCTTACTACTTATATAAAATAATTTTGACTATTGATTTAGTTCCTGTCTGCATTTCTCCTTTTGGATATCAAACACAAAAGGCAACTGAAATAGGCATTACATGACTCTTTCATAGCAAAATATAGCAAATATATATAGCAAAAGCTCTTTTGCAAATGCAAATAATGTTCTATTCTACTATATTTAAGCTAATGAGCTACAGATGCTGCTTAAGTAACATTCTTTCGGCAAAACTGTGTTTTCTGGGCCCAGGAAGTGACACTTCACTGAAAGTTAGGTTAGTGTTGTGATCATAATGCGCGAGCAGAGAAAATAGGGAAAAATAGTTTATAGTGACCTTTTCTGACCTTTGCAGCAAAAAATGAGGAGTGTCAGCTCCTGGGCCTAGAAAGTACATTTTTACCATTCATTCTGTTTGTATGATAACACAAACTTTAAAAATAACTAACTATAAAATTGTATCTTATACTTTGTAACATGTCAAATATTTGATTATTTCTGTGGTTGTAACTTTAAAGTTAAGTCAGAAACATATTATTGTGTCGTGTCACGCCATAAGACAGAACACAAGCACACATTAGAGACATTTTTGTAGGCTGTGTCGTGGGCCACGACACGACATATAAATATGTCTCTAACCATTATATGTAGGAAACCGATGTGCTTCTAGTGCGTCACGATACAACACTTTAATATTTTTGGCTTTAGTGGTAGAATGACAGATGTCTTTGGCTAATGATATCTTAACATTAATTGCAGTCTGATTCCGGTGACTGTATCTTGGGTATGACAGAGCCAGTCTATGTGAACGATGACTCTGATGAGCCCCTGTCCAAGTCGTCACCAAGGAACTCTAAACACAAAGGATCAAAATCAAATAAACCTTTGGTGAAAGTCAAAGTGAGTAGTAATCATCATCATCAACCTATTGATGTCCTCACTGCTGGGGCACAGGCCTCCCCTGTGGCTGGAATAGGGACATTTGGCCATATGGTGCGGATTAGTGGGTGATAACGACTGCTGATGCAAGCCAGACCAATGGCTTAATGTGCTTTCCGAAGCATGGAGGAGCTTAAGATAATATGTTTTTGGGTACCCATCCAAGGACGGACCATTGTGAAAGTTGCTCAACTTCCACAATCAATGCTGAACGCAGTAACCACCTGCCCATCAAGCTCCCCCAAGAGTAGTAATAAAATAAGAACTTAAAATTTAAAATAAAAAAAGACATCAAGCAAAAATATTGCGATTAGAAACGTCCCCTGAATTCCAATAAATTCTGAAGAGATTGAATCTGCATTTGCCTCTAAACGGTTCCTAAAGATTGAAGTAGACACTGCATGTATTTCAAGTCTTCAAATTGTATGGAAACCGAGCATGTCAGATTTTGAGTACTCATGGGATGATTTGATAAATAATAATTAATTTCAGACCCTATAATCCATAGAGAGTTAGTTATATTAAAACTTAGAAACTATGTTAGTACAATTACATTTAACCTATTTTCTATATTTAATGTTAGTGGGGACTTCGGACATTATGTCGATAGTTGTAATAAGCAATATACACAGGTAGTCATATTATTGTCATATGTCTGTATGTAGAATGGTTATAGATAATGAATATAAGCTTGTTTACATATAATATATCGAAAAAAGAAGTAAACCTACAGTATATTTTGTTTTGCTGGAACAAGTAAAATGGTTGGTCGTTTTTACCAATGAATATCAATATGAAATCTATCCATATTCATTGGCTATAAGTCGTTTTAAGCGATATTCCGCTATATCTTGGCACTAACGGTCATATGTAATCGCGCCATAAGTGAAGAAGAAAGAGAAAGAAGAAAAAGCTTTTATTGACCTTATTCATAAGTAGGTAAAAAAAAACAATAAACATAGCAATAAAAATAAAATACGTCAGTAAGCAAAAATATGCAGAGAAAAAAAAGGCCAATCAGGACCCTGCCTCAGCTTAATATTGTTATAGTAGGAAGTTAATATTCCCACCATAACAGCGCTGGTATTCTGGCAGATCCTGTACGAGATTGCTAGAGACAACAGTATACATCTTATATATAAAATTCTTGTGTCACAATGTTAGTTACCATACTCCTCCGAAACAGCCTGACCGATTTTTATGAAATTTTATATGCATATTCCGTGGGTCTGAGAATCGGCTACTATCTATTTTTCATATACTTAAGTGATAATATTTGTCCACCGGTAACATAGTGTTCTGAAACCTACACTGCGCCTTCGCGTCAAAATGCAAACTATTGGGTATTGTAACGTAATGTTCTCATATGGGTTAGGAGGAATGTTATCCCAGGAAATTGATAGAACTACGTTCCACACCCCTAAAATTTTTTTTGGACAATATTTATTTTTTATAATGTGGTATTAAAGACTTCATACATCCCTAAATTTTTTCTTCTACCACCTGCCCCTTTATTTATGAAGTTCGCTGGGTAAGGTAGTTTTATTATAAAATGGAGTAAAAAAAAACTTATAAGTGTACCATAAGTGTATAAAGATGAGCTATTTATCGTCCTTCAAAGGTGGAGAAACCTGAACCTCGCGACAGCCGCCATAGTCGCGGGGTCAAGTCGTCACCTCACGCGGGCCAGAAGCGGCCCGCCCCGCCCGAGCCGGGCCCGCGCGTCACCAGGCACGCGCGCAACACTAACGATGATAATATCACGCTGAACACCCTGAGGGTAAAATATAAATAAATAAATAAGTATTTCCAACACTCACACCAATTAGCCTAGCCCCAAAGTAAGCACACATAAGGCTTGTGTTATGGGATACTAGGGTAACGGATAGAATACATATACTTTACATATATAAGTATATTTATATAAAGATACATATTAAATATCCATGACTGGAGTACAAATGCTCGTGTTCATCACACAAACATCTGCCCCCACCGGGATTCGAACCCGGGACCTCTCGAGTCGGCGACGCCATGAAACCCGGCGTACAAACCACTCGGCCACGGAGGTCGACGGGTAAGTGCTAGTAGTAGAATAACTAAACTTAAACCTGGACTAAAACTGATGCTGTCACTTTTGCTTGCTAAAAAGAAGACGCAGACTACATTGGGTTTAAACCAACTTTAGTTCCCGTTTTGGAATAAGGCGGTCAAAGTCAGTACGCCTAACACTAACGATGACAATATCACACTGAACACCCTGAGGGTAAGTGCTAGTAAGTAATGGAATAACTAAACCTGGACTAAAACAGATGCTGTCACCTTTGCTTGCTAAAAAGAAGACGCAGACTACATTAGGTTTCAACCAAGACTAACTTTAGTCCCCGTTTTGGAATAAGGCGGTCAAAGTCAGTACGCCTAACACTAAAAAGATGTGGAGTCTCAATAAATAAAACTAGTTTTTACGGGTTAATCCACGAAACTTTATTTATTTATTGACGTTTCGCAGCCTTTTCAGGTCTGCATGGTCAGAATAATGATTTTTTATTTAAAATTGTCGAGCTACCTTCGAAAGACTTATATTGAGCGTTCGGTTATTTCATTGGAAGATTTTTAAAATTTTATTGTCTATGTATGAATTTATTATTTAATTTACTTAATAAAGTATTTTATTTAAAATTCTTGTTTGTAATTTTGAGTTTATTTATTTGACCCTAACTCGTCAATAAATAAATAAAGTTTCGTGCATTAACCCGTAAAAACTAGTTTTATTTTAATGAGTGATGTGCGTGAAAACCTAAGAAACAAATATGTGGAGTCTCAATTTTTTTTTGTTTATATAAATGTTGTCTTCTTTTACAGCACCACTCTAAGAGGTCGCCTTCTTCTCTGCCCCCTGCACCAAAGTCGATATTGAAGAAGGAGCCAAAGGTATGTACACACTTATTTGTATTATTACACAATTTTATATCAGAAACAAAGTAGAATAAATTAGAACAAATTTTAATAAGGTTTACTGGGAAGCCTTTTATTTATAGAGAAAGGTGTAATTATTACTCTTTTCGACTTATTGTAAATTAGCGGCCGCATTGTAAACTTTTAGGGTTTTTCTTTTCTAAAATAAAATATTTTTTCTAAAATAAAAGTAGCCTAAGTCACTCCTTATTATATCAACTACCTGCAAATAAAAGTCGCGTCAAAATCGGTCTAGCCATTTCAGAGATTAGCCGGAGCAAATAGACAGAAAGACAGAAAGACAAAAATTAAAAAAAAATATTGGTGAATATTATATATTCATGTGCATGTAGTAAAAAGCGGCATTTCAATATTACAAACAGACCCTCCAATTTTATTTATATGTATAGATACAAAGTAGAATAAATCAGAACAAATTTTAAGAAGGTTTGCTGGGAAGACTTATTATATAGTGAGAGGTGTAAATATTACTCTTTCCGAGTTATTGTAAATTATAAAGTTCCCTTTAGTGATGATATTTTACGTACTTAGTAAAGATTACTAAACTTATTCACCAGCAGAGCCCTCCTGGGGTAAGCGCGTTCGGTTGCAATCGCTGAAGTTAAGCAACTTTCGCAGTGGTCGGTCATTGGATGGGTGACGGAAAATCTTTTATCTTGTGTTAAAACTCCCTGAATCGTTCGTTTATTACATCTAGAGTAAATCTTAACCGTTCGGTAATTCCGCTGAGATCAGTCCGATGTAAATCTGTTTGCTCGGAGCATTTAGACCGACGAGAAGGATTAATCTGGTTATCTGTCATGTGGTCGGGTTAGTTTCTGTTTGAGGTTAGAGTCTGTGCGGAAAGAGAATGGGCGTGGCGAAAAACGGAACTACCATTAAGATTTTTATTTGGCAATCAAACCCAGCAATCTGTAAAACGCCAAAGTTTTGTATTGATACGGATTTGTTTGTTGTTGTGATTTCTTGCGGTTTTTTGAATTTATTCATGTCTGAAAGGGGTAAAACCTTACAAATACGGTAGAAAAGCACTACAGCGCCCTCCAATCTAAATCCCATTCTCTTTCCGCACAGACTCTAGCAATTAATCTACGGTTAGTCGGGCCGTCCGGTCATAGCAATTCGCTCAGATTAATCTGTGATCACGTGACAAAACCCGTCACCTCGGCGATGCAAATACCGAACGCAGCTTTAGATTATCTGTCAATAACTATTATTTCTATACTCAAACTCATTTATTCAGTCTAGGCTGTTACAAGCTCTTATGAAAGTCAGACACTACGCCATCGGTTCGTAAATCTACGGCGGGAGACATTGTACTGAGAAGAACCGGCAAGAAACTCAGCAAGGGCTATTTTTTTCTCCCTGTTTTGTTTCATACAGTGTCGTTAATTGAAAGATGACATCAAAAATTGAAAACATGTGTTGATGTCAACTTCCATCACATTAATGGTATTAATTAACAAAAGTATAGTATAGCTAGGTACTATTTTTAAATTTAGAAAACGACTTAGTCTATTATATTAAGCCCAAGGTGACTTATCATTTATGAAATCTTTAACAGCATAGTAACCTTTCTTAAGGAGACAAGTTTTTATACACACTTAAAACTTACTAAAAGGTAAATTAATAATTTCTTATGGTATTTTATTATAGTAACATGTACCTTGACCCACAAATGAACCAAGAACCTTTTGGAGTCTCAACGGTGACAATTTGAGTTTATCTTTATTTCTGGTATTGAAATTAATCTACTATAATAGTTTGTATTGACCTTTGTTTTTTTCTTGTCAATAGCGCGAACGTGAACAGTTAACCTTGCGGTCGAAGAGGACCCAAGAGCCTCCCAAGACAACGGTGCCATTAAAAAGGGTCAAGTAAGTTATGACTTATTATCTACATACTAGCATACATACATTTTCTTTACATTTAAACATTTAGCAGTTAAATGCTTAAAAAAACTAGAATTGCTATTTCCTCTTTCAAATGTTTTTATTGTGGGTTACCTACAATGCGAAGAGATGGCGCTGCCTTGCAGCCTAAGAAATTCGATACGGCCATCAGGGCCGCGGTAGCATAATGGTCAGTGCATTCGCCAGGAGAGCGAAGGGTGCGGATTTGAGTCCCGTGTGGATATTTTTCTTTTCTGGCATGGTTTTAGTTTAGTAATTTTAACACTGTTTAAGGTGATTTTGATTGAAAATTATTTGAGATTCAAATACAATGGGCCCGAAACCTCCGGACTATAAAAAAAAGTAGTTTGACCAGATGCGTAATTATACCGTTTTGTTCGCCAACTCCTCATATATAATCAAAAAAATGTCGTGTTGCGATCCGTTAATGTGAGTGTTGTGTGTCGAGAACAGTTTCGAGTGATCAGTGAGAATGCGAACAGGGGTACCGGTATCGAACGCAATAAAAGACTTCGTCGGAGGGTAGACCGATATGTCTGCCAATAGGGTATTTCACAATTTTTTAGAAAACGATCTCACGTCATTGACTAATGTTTATGGAGTCCGTAAAAAGATATTCATCATTCTGTTGTGTATTTCAATAAAAATAACCAAATCAAAAACTCCATTTTCAGGTTGCCACAAAAACGTTTCTCTGGACAATATGGCGTCTTACTAGTGTGTGACGTCACACGACTGTTATTAAAACGTCAAACGATACAATGTAACGTCCCTTTAACCGGAAGTTTACTTGCGTGTGACGTCATTTTAGGCTCCGCCAAATCAAAGTGTTTTGGGTCACGTGACAATTGATAAGAAAACTATTATCTTTTTCGTGGGTTTTTAGTAAAACTATGAATATTTTTTTTGTAATAATAGTAAAACCACTGCCAATATTCATTCTAAACACAGATGCTAACAATTGGCACTTTATTTTTAATACTCTCAAATACCCTATTACAACCTACCCGCAAATACTTCAGTTACTCCGTGATCAGGGCGCTTGCAACTGTGCCGTAATAACGGGGACTCTAAAAACAGGGTACATAGTAGCAATTCAAAAAAATTGACTATTTAAAAGATGTCGCATCATAATATGTATAATAATAATATAACATCGATCAACTCGTAAATTTTGCTAGCAAAGCATTTTTAACCGCAAGTAATTATTTAGGTTAATATTTTACCGTTTAAATATATTTCATAATCATGCCCAACTTAGTTCGCGTTTGTCTCAAGCAGTGTGCACACAGTTACTTTCAAGTTTAATGATAAACTAGCAAAGCAGTGAATCAAATGTTCACCAAAAAAAAAAATATATTTAATTAATTGAGAACTTCGGAGATTTTGTGTGGTTTCGTTTTAAATTCGTGATTTCTCGAAAACCGGAAGTGCTACGTTACTCAAATCCGGTTTGTAGTCTAATCAGACTATTCTTAACTTATAACTTAAACATTCTCTTTATCTATCTCTTACGGTTTGGCCGCTGAAACAGCACCACAGACAGACGGACGGACGGACGGACTTGTCTAATAGATAAGAGATATTTTCGTCAAGTTTATCAAGTGTTTTCCTGTCTTCGATATCAAGAAATAGCACTTCAATGTACTGAGCTGACAAGGGCTCGTACAAAATAGTTATTTAAGATATTAGTGTGGTAAATTTGTTATTACAAACCGGTAGATTCGTCTCGGGCTTATAAATAGCAATCCGCACGAATGTCATACAAAATTTTTCAACACTTGCGAGAAAACACTACCTATATCTACCAATCCCCTATTATCACCCCTCAATCCCCACTATCAGCCACTAACCCCTTGTTATCACCCACCTATCCCCCGTTTCACCATCGATTCCCTTTCACCCTCCAATCCCCCGTTTCAACATCGTATCCTTTTTTGACCCTCGAATCCCCTTTTCACCTACCAATCTCCTGTGCTCATTAAGTTTAATAACTTACTTAGATGCTCCTCCTTTCTTACTCTAACTCGCAGCGCCGCTTCGATTAGTGAGATTCGACTGAAATTTAAAAAAAAACCGAAAAAAACCGCACGGCGCTATTTATGGGAGCGTGCGATAAAATGTTTTACCGCACGCCCCGTTGAATGGCTCGTAATTTTGAACTTTCTAACAGTGTATACAACCTTCTTAAATGCATTTTTGAGCTAGTTTGTTGAAAAGTAATTTTTCCTCCCGTTCTCTAGGTTAACGGTAAAACTCCCCCCGAAACCGGAGAAGCCTAAACCTCCACCCCCTCCCCCGGGCATAAAGTGCGCCATCTGTCGGCATCTCAGCAAAACACCGCAAGCAAACTCCAACCATCTGAGGAGCCATACTGTCACGTTCACCAGTAGCAAGTAAGTACATTTAAAACTTAAGCCGCAACCTCCAGTAAAAGCGCAAAATAGATAGTACAGAAGGTATAATGCGATTCAACTAAGAATAGGACCGACTGGGTGCCATATTGTGACGTCATAGCTGTCAATTCATACCAAATACGTAGAGTGAGCAAAAAAAAATTTTATTTAATAAAACTTATTTACTAGATTAAGCGAGCAAAAAAATCTGAGTTTTTTTTATAAAATTTATTTACTAAGATTAAAAAATAAAAACAACCGAAGATTAATAATATTTTTTTTAACACTAAACACGAAGCTACATAAATCAGAATCTAGCTCTTCAATTCCGCTTATCTCTACAATACCGCCGGAGTAGTTATGAATAATCATGCACTATAACTAGGTCACATACGAACATGTATCCTTTATGTAAACGAAAGTTTTAAATCGAGATTATAAACGCAACCTAAAGTGACATTTGGTTGACGATTTAGGTTATCAATCAGTCATAGCTAAAGCTATAGCAATAAATGAAAAAAAATATTAAGCAATATTAATACTCAATATTTGTTATTGTTTGTTTTCAAATGTTTAGATTTTATGCTAGAATTAGCCGAGTGCTAAAAAAGGGTACCAAGATTTTTTTGCAAACCGTACTTTTCAAGCGACATTTGACAGATGGAGGTCATTGGCTTTCCTATTCTTATTTGAATCGCACTATAATCTCATGTATGTACTTCACTTTGCATCCCTACGCGCGGTGTCGCGCTAGGATTGTCAACATTCATCTGTAGCCCTGTAGACTGTGACACTGACATTTCGGAGTCGCAATCTGTAGTTTGCGACTCCGAAATGTCAGTGTCAAATTTTGTATGAAAACTTGAACAGCAGCGCCACAAAGTACGTAACGAGAACTAAAAATCAGTACACATTTGACAATGACATTTCTCACTCGCAAACGTTATGAATTTGATATTGGTTCGTGTTGAGGGTACAGGTCACATACCTTTAAATAGCTTTGGGTACTTGATGAAAAAATTGAAATCTCCGAATTGTACTCAGTGTGATCAGGGGGCCTACTCTCTTTCTCCGAAACGAACTTTCGATAACGAAGTTCAAACGAAATTCAATTTCGTCAATTTAAGGTTATACTTAATTTGAACGATGAACTATCAAATTGAAGCTTTCTTTGAGTATGCTTAGAAAATCTACACCTAAATCTATATTCCGACGACGAATATTATTATAATTAAAAACGAATCAGAAACATAGTAAGAAAAGTTATAAGTTTCGATCGAAATTAAGTTTTTCGTTGAAGAGTAGAGTATGCCTCCAGGTTGAGATGCGGAAGAATCCCTAAACGGGGATCCTGCGGCTTCGCGCTAAGCAGCTTAGAGGGTATTCGCAGGGTTTTTTAGCGGATATTATGCCGTAAAGCGCCCGTAAGGGTTACGGGGTCCTCAGTGGGCAGCCACTGCGGGGGCTCGTAAGGCTTGCGGGAGCCAGGTGTAAGGTCCGTTCGGCGGTGTGTCTCTTAAAGGCCCCGTCATCTGTAAACAGTATTTTTTGCCTGCGTATAAAAAAAAGGCCTCCAGGTCGAAGATTTGTGGCATGTGATGTCTGGATGTACAAGGGTTGTAGCGAAAGATACGACTTTTTTAACCAACCCCGGAGCTGACAGTAATGGATGTTGGTTTATATCATCATCAGCCTATTAATCTCATACTCACCCACTGCTGGCCCTTCCCTATGGATGGAATAGGGAGATTGGGTCATGACCCACCACGCGGACCTAGTGCAAGATTGGCGGGTGCTAACAACTGCATATGCAGCTGAGACCAACGGCTTAACGTGCCTTCCGAAGCACGAACATAATGTGTAAATGTTGTTACATTAGACTTTTAATGTTGTGGAGATTCTTTTCGCTCGTTTTTCTCCGCAGCTAAAAAAAGGTCCATAACGAGTGGTAGGGAAAACAAAACCAACGATATTAAATACCCTAGATACACCAACACGAACAAAATCGTGTCCGAAACCTGTCCAAAAGGTACATTGAACGATCCAAGGAGCTCCGTAAGATGATCGCGTAGTCAAAATCAATATAAGGAGTTATTTAGATATTAAAAGTAACCTTTAATACATGTTGTATAAGGTCTTAAATAAAACGCATGCGTCAAGGACTTTTGACAGTTCGAAATGCAAGCTCGTAAAATTTTACGACTTATTACTATATGCGGAAGAATTTAGATCTTAGTTCATTGACTCTACGCGCAATTCTGAACGCGCTGTTAGCAATATAGCAGGTACGGACCGCGAGGAAAAGAGACGGCTATATGGCCACGTATAACCGACCATGCATTTGAATAACACAAATATTTTATATTAAATCAGTTTATAGTAAGTATTAGATCAAATTTTGCTTCAAATGCGTTAAATTAACAAAAATTGATAAGATACCTGTCGAAAAAACGACACTTTTCGTACTCTAAGTATTATTTTCGCATTTTATTGCGGAGCTCTGTGGCATCTTGACTTTGTAACGGTCCGCGCGTGACTGTGAACCAAGAAGTGCTTGCGTGGAGTTCAAGCACTTCTTGATTGGGACACATTTTGAGCGCACGTGGTGTATCTAGGGTATTCAATATCGTTGGACAGAACCCTCTAAAATAAAGAATCAAAAAAAAAATTGTGTGTGTCAGCTCCGACGCACGACGCAAAAAGAGTTTATTTAACTTAAAAAAGATTGATACTGTATGAAAGGGTAAATTAACAAATTAATGAAAATAATATACATATATAAATATATATTTATTCATTTCATATACCTACAAATATTATAACTAATCGACGAAATATTTTACATTAAACTTTTACAATAGTCAATTTCAGATGTGCATAAATATATCATTAGGAATGTTGATAAATTATGTAATTAATATTATCAGACTATTATATTTTTTAAAAATATTAATTAAATCAACGTTGTCTGCATTATTAATTACAGTGACAAGTGGTTTATGGTAACTAAAATAAGACACATTGACGTTCGTAGATACGTGGTTCACGAATCTTGAAAATACCGCATCAATGGTTGTACCATACCTCGTTGTCCCCATTGCTCTATCAGAAACAATATCTAAATTCAGTTCAGATTTAAAAAAAAATATTAATGTCAATCCGTCATATTTGTTTGTTGTCAAAGTTGCGCACCAAAAACGGTAACGAGGTCATACATCGATAGATTTTACTCCTCACATTTTTCTCATACCGGGCCCCTTATATATGCAAATCGATTCATAAGGAGTAAACTCCAAAAAAACATTCTTCAATAACACTGCCATTGCCCACACAGATTGGCCTGTAACGCGTGCCGCGAATGGTTTTCGGATGCGGAAGCGGCCGCGGCACATCACAGGCGGCACGAGGCGCGTTCCAAGGCCTACATGTGCCGCACCTGCCGCGCCCGACGTGCCACCTACAAGCAGTACCTCGCGTGAGTCCTATATCCTAGAGTTGATTACTCTGTGTTTCTGCTAATCTGGTACTTGACATGCCAATTTATTAACCATCGAAAAAAACACAATTTATTAACTTTTTACAGAGAAGTCTGATTTTGATAATTCTTTTTTTTGGAAAGGAGTTAGAGTCTGTGCTGAAAGAGAATGGGATTTAGATTGGAGAGCGCTGTAGTGCTTTTCTACCGTATTTGAAAGGTTTTACCCCTTTTAGATATGATTAAATACAAAAAACCGCTAGAAATCACAACAACAAGCAAATCCGTATCAATACAAAACTGACGTATTACAGATTGCTGGGTTTGATTGCCAAATAAAAATCTTAATGTTAGCCTCGTTTTCGCCATGCCCATTCTATTTCTGCACATATTCTACATCAAAGTTGGTCTCACATAAATTTGGAAAAATAACCTACCCTGGGAAAAAAGAGTTGATTGTTCACTCACAGACTTTGATGCCGAGCTTTATATTACAAAAATTGTGAAAAGAAGACTTTTTAACAAAAAAATTCAACCGCCGATAAGTAAAAGATAATAAATCTTTTTTATCTTTAGTCAAATTAATATTTGGATTCGGTGCTATGTAGGTCTGATAGATCTTAGTTTCCATTTACTACTTGGGTTGGCCTGGCACTGGCACTTCCACTTCAAACATTAATTTGACTTCCTTCCAACAGAGTGCTTCAAGATACTCAGTTTTACTTTTTTTTTTCAAAGATTTTCGCTTTTCAGGGAGGGCAAACGGAACAATGCTCATACAGCCAAGTCTTTAGTTTTATTAATCATCGTTTTTTATTAGAATGCCGGGTGTGACACATTCTAATGTTTCTTGGTGTGTTTGGCACGAAATGTATCGAGTTGGCTTTTCCGATAAGCTTCTGTGAGGTAGCCAACACTACAATAAAGTTCTCACGTCCACCTGACCGGAATAGCGTATATTTTAAAGAGATTCCACTAATTCTTCAGTTGCGCAGACGGTTGTAACACGAAATTTGATTGATGAGTGCTATGAGTGCAGATGCAGCCGGGACCAACAGCTTCACGTGCCTTCCGAAGCACGGAGGAGCTCGAGATAGTAAATTTTGGTCACCCATCCAATGACCGACCACTGCGAAAGTTGGTTAACTTCAACGATCGCAGCCGAACGCGCTAACCACCTGCGCCATCGATCTCCACAACACGAAATCACACCAATTTTATTTCACAATATCCACTATGAACGAATTTAAGAATAATTAAAATAAGACGCCAACCGCACTCGATGAAATCCCGCCAAAAAGCCTTTTACTTTTTTTGTTCCAGTCACACAGAGTCAGGGGACTGTGTCCCATGGGACGAAGTGCCAGACGTCCAATGCTCAGAATGTTGGAAGTATTTTCCCACGGATAACTTGCGGACACAGCACAAGTGTCCCGGGGAGGAAGGACGACCGGGCGGTGAGTGACAAACAGACAAACGTTCTTTCTCTCTCTCCAAATTTAAGAGCTATGCTCTTTAAATCTAAAGAAAATGTAACTAGAAAAAAATCCACGCGGGGCAGCAGACGGGACTCGAACCCGCACCCTAGGGATAGCCTATAGGGAAGGCCTGTGCCCCACTGCTAGTGCACAGGCCTTCCCTATGGATGGAATAGGGAGATTGGGCCATGACCCACGCAGGCCCAGTGCGGATTGGTGGGTGCTAACGACTGCAGATGCAGCCGCGATCAACGGCTTAACGTGGAGGAGCTCGAGATAGTAAATTTATGGTCACCCATCCAATGACCGACCACTGCGAAAGTTGCTTAACTTCAACGATCGCAGCCGAACGCGCTAACCACTTGCGCCATCGAGCTCCTCAGTCTCTTTTAGTTATTTTGTTAATTTATAAATTTAATAATTTGTCTGTATCCGTGTACTGTGCTGAATATACGATTTTGATTTGATTGGATTTGATGGGTGATAATGGGGAATTGGCGGATAAGGGAGTGGGGTGTGTCTGGGGACACCCCTCTGGTATCGGGGCGGGCTGTGGCGTCTATCTCCTTTCGCGGCGAAGGGAAGCCAGATAGACTGACGCCGTAACGCGTTACGTAACGAAGTGGTTTACCCACACATAAGAAGTTATCACTTCAATAATATGTTTTACGTGAAAACCGTTCCAGCCGCTCAAAACTTAAACCACCCACCCACAAAATATCTTTAAAGGGGGGATTACATTTGTTTTTGACGACCTCCGTGGCCGAGTGGTTTGTACGCCGGGTTTCATGGCGTCGCCGACTTGAGAGGTCCCGGGTTCGAATCCCGGTGGGGGCAGATGTTTGTGTGATGAATACGAGCATTTGTACTCCAGTCATGGATGTTTAATATGTATTTCTATATAAATATACTTATATATGTAAAGTATATGTATTCTATCCGTTACCCTAGTATCCCGTTACACAAGCCTTATAGTGCTTACTTTGCGGCTAGACTAATTCTAAAAAGTCTGCCCTTTCCAAAAATATGCATAAAGGCAATTAATAAATTAATAAAATCAATATTATAATGATGCAAGATTTCTCATATAGTCACCGTGTTTTCAGGCAAATGTTCAAAATGCTCTCGAACCTACACTCTAATGAAGAATTTGAAGAAACATGAGAGCACCTGCACTGCTAAAAAGAGAGGTTAGTAGATGTTAAAATAATAGGTTGAGGGAAAACTCGCATATTAGCAGAAATATCGGTCTACGACGAGACGACGAAAAAGATCCGCAATTTCCATTTCTTGCATTAACTAAGCTAATATGTCAAGCTACCCACAGGGGGCTGTCTGGTATTAGTGACCCAAATCCACTCCGTTGCTTATAACACGGAGAAATATCTAGTTAAACATCGGCAAAATTCGGATGTAAGGATAATGTTGTTCAAAACAGAAATGGTAGAGCAAATTAAAATAACGAAGATTAAGTGATTTTAGCGTATTTTTACAGACAGGATATAAAAGTCATGTATTCATCTCACACAAGTAATATACCTAAACTAAAATAAGAGTAACAAATAGAACCTTATTATCAACTACTACCTACTACTCTACCCTAGAAACTTACAATTTTGATCAGGATCATAAAATATAAAGGAAATTGTTTTAAAATTTTGTCTCAGACATACGTCGTAACCAAATATGGCTACGATATGCATAACAATAGTTATAAAATTTACGTAAGGCTTTAGTTTTGGATCCAGGATTTGCATTTTTTTATCTCTTATCTACCCTCCGACGAAGCCAATTACAGCTTATCCGCAATTACTACTATAGTCTATTCACTTTGGCCTGAGACAAAATGTAAACAAAGAATCTGAGGTTCTTAAACTTTTTTAGAAAATGCACGCTCGCGTCAACAGTTTGATCGGTAGAGCAAAGATGTCTGACGTAAAAAACCAACCGATTATAAAATACAACATTTCAACGTAAAATACTTATGTCTACTCTTAAATTTTGTCGTATTATAATACGTCTTAGTTTGGGAATAATTGTGTTTTTATGTCTTTTTCCATGTCAACAATGTTGTCAAAATATTTTATCAGCAATATAAAAATATACTAATTTATGATGTGTATGTATAATAAATATATGTATGTAAAATATTTTATTTTCTCATTCAAATGTATGTACCAGCTTTTAAAAAAATTAACCAAATGTTTCACTGCATTTCCTATGTAAATAGTATTTAATCTTTACTTTTGTCAAAAGTGACCTTAAAAAGTATCCTTTTTATGGTTTGTTTACATTTTGTCTCACGCCAATGTGAATAGACTATAGTTAGTTATTTATTACTACTAATTAGTTACTCCGTGATCATGGCGCTTGCAACAGTGCCAACACCGGAAACTCGCTAAAAACAAAGTACATGGTAACAATGCCGTAAATAAATAACTTATATTTTATTAAAAAATGTTTTAAATTTTCATATAAAATGGGAAGACACTTTTTCCCCAACCTAATATAATGTAGTTTAATTATATATGACGCGATAACATAGACGTTTGTCAATGCAAAATCGCCACTTAAATCTTAAATAAACCAAAAATGTTTTCAAATAATGGAGAGACGAACTGCAACATTATTATTTATACTAACCATATTATTATCATTTTAGCTAGAGTCCGACCGAAACTGGTTTTTCGGCCGAAACCGAAACCGAAACCGAAACCGAAACCGAAACTCACGTGGTCAAGATTAAAATGCCTTAAAATACTGAAATTTGGTGCATTCTACCCATTATTCAGCATTAATTAGGACATGAAATTTTTTATCAGTTATCAATAATCAATTCACAAATTGTTACCGCTTCATTAAATGCCCATTGGTATTTTGAAATCTTATTAATTATTACTTTGGTTTGTATTTGTACTTAGAAGAATCATCAATGTCTTTTATTACAATATAGGAAACTGCACGTTTCTTAATATAGGATATGAACTGCTGTGCGAGTAACGAAGTAAGGCGAGCGTGCACGACAACTTCCGTAATCAGTTTCGGTTTCGGCAAAAGTTTCGGCCAATTTTGGCCGAAACCGAAACTGCCACCGAAACTTAATTTTTGGCCACTGGAAACTCGGCCGATACCGAAACCGAACTTTCGCTCGGACACTAATTTTAGCCAATTTTTAAGGAATCTATACATATCGGACCTTACCGAAATTGAAACATCTTTGTATTTTAATATTCATATATCGAAAATGGTGAAGCATAAATAGTACATATAGCACGAAGCAATATCGAATTCGAATAGTTTGCAAGTGCGAAATGTCAATGTCAAATTTTTTACGGAAACTTGAACAGCAGCGCTACAAAGTACGTAACGAGAACTAAAAATCAGTATACATTTGACAATGACATTTCGCACTCGCAAACGTTACGAAATCGATATTGGTTCGTGCTACTGCGTGGACTAATGTTTATATTGTTACATTGCTAAACCTTCTGAAGAAATTTTACTAGAAAACTTTGCACTCAGGCAGCAGCCGGGACTCGCATCCGCCCAACGGAGGGTGCGGGTTCGAGCCCCGTCTGCTGCCTGGTCCGCATGGATTATTTTCTAGTAAAACTTTCTTTACATATAAATATGTAGGAGGGCCAAAGGGGAAGATCTTCCTCCGAGCTGGGTGATGGTAGTTCGGGGGTGGCGGCCCGACTGATGGTGGTCGGGCATTGTATATATGGAGTGTCCGAAGCCGTAGCCTCCGAATAGGCTAGTTGACTCATTTCAAATTGCACTATACCAATGTTTATCTCTTATCTATTAGACAAGTCCGTCCGTCTGTCCGTCTGTGGTGCTGTTTCAGCGGCCAAACCGTAAGAGATAGATAAAGAGAATGTTTAAGTTATAAGTTAAGAATAGTCTGATAAGACTACAAACCGGATTTGAGTAACGTAGTAAAAACTTCCGGTTTTCGAGAAATCACGAATTTCAAACGAAACCACACAAAATCTCCGAAGTTCTCAATTAATTAAATACATTTTTTTTAATCAGGTTTTGGTGAACATTTGTTTCACTGGTTTGCTAGTTTCTTATAATGTTTGGTAAAAGGTACCTAAATACATCGTTTTCACTTCATAAAAGTAGAAGATGGCTGCAGTAATTTAATTTGAAAAATGTTAATCTATGCTTTTTAAATACAAACTAAAATTAAAGGTTTGTAGCTTTCTAGGTCAAAAAAATACAATTCATTTTTTTTCGGTCTAATAGAACAATTATGATTAACCATTTAAAACATATTTCCAAAAAGTGTCAAGTAGCCTATTTCACTTGCGCGATGTAGGCTTCCATAGTATTGTGATTGCAGCGCAGGTAGCGCCATCTCATGATGATTTGAGTGATTATTTCCTCCCTGTGCTATATGTGAGGCATATAGATGTCGCCGCCACAAATATATAGCAGCTAAATGCTTATAAAAACAAAACATAATTATTATTTCTTCTTGACGACCTCCGTGGCCGAGTGGTTTGTACGCCGGGTTTCATGGCTGTCGCCGACTCGAGAGGTCCCGGGTTCGAATCCCGGTGGGGGCAGATGTTTGTGTGATGAATACGAGCATTTGTACTCCAGTCATGGATGTTTAATATGTATTTATATAAATATACTTATATATGTACAGTATATGTATTCTATCCGTTACCCTAGCATCCCATAACACAAGCCTTATAGTGCTTACTTTGGGGCTAGGCTAATTGGTGTTCTTTATGTTCGCAGGTGAAGTTCCAATAGACCCCGAGCTGATGGCCAAAGTGAGACCGATTCAAGTGAGGACGGTCCGCTGCGATCCTCTTCTAGAACGAGTCCAGAACGGCCACTATGACATCTCTGACGTTCCTGAGGTGAGATATGTACACCGTGTGTGTGAAAATTTTGAGCTACCTGAGTTTTTTGATGTGTAACATCTTTTCTCTCGCGTTTCTGCAATTTGTAGGAGCGATTTCCTGAAATGGGACGGAAGTGTGTAACAGGAAGTCGCGAAAGCGCGCACTATTTGATTTGGTTTTAGAACAATGTTCAAATGGCTTATTCCTTTTGTAGTAGGTTTTATTTCTTTTTTTACTAATATAAGGTGAGGTTTCAAATGTTACACATCATACGCGACTACTGTAAGGCTCGCTCGTTTTTTTTTCGTAAGAAGTATCCATGTTAACTCACTTTTTCTACAATTATGAAATTTTAATAATTTTAATGAGGATCATTACTAGAACAGCATTTTAACTCAAAATCAACAGTATCTCTTATCTATTAGACAAGTCCGTCCGTCCGTGGTGCTGTTTCAGCGGCCAAACCGTAAGAGATAGATAAAGAGAATGTTTAAGTTATAAGTTAAGAATAGTCTGACAAGACTACAAACCGGATTTGAGTAACGTAGCACTTCCGGTTTTCGAGAAATCACGAATTTTAAACGAAACCACACAAAATCTCCGAAGTTCTCAATTAATTAAATACATTTTTTTTTAAATCAGGTTTTGGTGAAAATTTGGTTCACTGGTTTGCTAGTAATCATCTAATAAGCTTTTAAATTAATATACTTTTTAAATCATCGAAATTGTTTCAGTCGTTGCGATTTCTTAACAAATTTTATGGTAGCTAGTTTTCACCGCCGGCCGAAACATGTGCCGTCACAGAGCTCGATCGTGGTTCACTTCAGTCGTACTTCAGTAGCGTCTCTACGCACGTTCGCGACCGAGCGCTGGAGCTCTGTTACGTCACAGCCACCACGCTGCCAGCCGAAAGTTCGTTTAGTAATTTGGTCATAGCTTCGTCAATTATGTTTAGTTATCAGAATCCGATGATATCCCCATTAATTCATCTCCTTATTTTCAGAACTACGGGCTGGATCCGGATCGTGTCTATCCGTACATCAATTCTGCATCACTGAACTTCAATCGCATGGTCAATATCAAGACAGATTTGCTCGACTTCTACTGTGAAGATGATTATATCCATTGGGACTCTGACAATAGTACTGAAGATGAAATCGTTGAAAAAGACAAAGAAGTCGATTCTTTAACAACGTTGTCACTGAAAACTTTATTCTCCCAGAAATGTTTGGGCCGGGTCCCAAGGAAGAAAAGGAAGGTCAAAACGGAGAAAAGTATGTTTGATTCGATATTGGGCAACGATTTTGATATGAGCAAAGATATCAATAGCATAATCGATAACCTTGGCGATGATGATGATACGGAAACGAAGACAGAAGATGTAAATAATGACAGCAAAATTAGTGATGCGACAGTATCTGTGGGAATTGATAGTGAAGACAAAGATAGAGAAGTTAATGTTACCGATGAAAGTGCTAATTTAGATGATAGTAATAAAAAAGTAAAATCTGAAGATAATGATAAAGTAGATGGTGTTAGTGTAAGTAATGATGAGTCTAAAAATAATGTTGAAGATGAATCGAAAGTTAGTGGTGGTAGCTATGATAAATTACAAGTTAATAATAGTGAAGGCAAAGTGCAATTGGATGAAAGCAGTAACGGTAAACCAGAAGCGAATGATAAAAGTGATGACAACGAACAAATTAATGATAGTACTGACGACAAAGCGAAAATTAATGATAGCAGTGATGATAAATTGTTTGAGTGTAATGCTGATGGTAAAAATACTAATGAAGACTCGGTTGAAAAAATAAACGATGAAAATGAATCATCAAAAGGAATCGAAGTAGATAAAATGGAGGTCAATGAAAAAAGTATCGATAAAAATAATCATGAGACTGATCCAAGCACAAATGTCACTGAATCAGAATCTATAGGCGATGATATAAATATTGATTCTAGTGTAAGTAAAAAGGAAGAAAATGGTGAACAACACTGTGAGAATCTAGATTTTAACGAAAAAGAGGTTGAAAAACTCAACGTAGAGACAAATGAAAATATTAAGGATACTCCGGATGCTGTTAATGTAGTAGATTCTACGAATATTGATAAGGATAGTCTTAGAGTAAGTGATGTAGATTTAAGAAGTGATAGTAAAGAAAATAAAAATGTACCCGAAAATGATAAGAATCCAGAAGATAAGAAGAGTGATGAAACTGAAGCGAGTGGTGAAGTAAGCACTGATTGTGATATTGTAAAAAGTAGAGATTTAACTGCAAAAGGGGCTGATGACATTAAAGAAACTATTGAAAATGATATTAAACAGAGTGTTGAAGTGAACGATACAATTATTCCCGAGAAAGATAAAGGCAATGGTGTTCGTTCAATGGAAACTGACAAAGAGGACTTTATTGACAGTGAAACAGGTGACAAAAAGGAAAATATTGAACAAAGTGACTTGACTGATGAACATATCCAAAAACCAGGTGATGATAATAGTTTAACAAGTGAGACTCAGAAAATTAATGATGATACAGTAAAAATGAACGGAGATTTTGATGGGAGAACGGATAAAACCAAAACGGATGAACTGACAGACTCAGAAATCGATGATAAAAAGCTCATGGACGCCTTGAACGAACATATCGGCGAGACTGACGAAAATGACGTTACCAATGATAAAACCGTCGATGCTGATAGGGCGACAGATAAAGACGCAAAAGCCTTCGAAGTTAAAAGAACAGATGAACAGCACACATATGATAATACTCATGAAAATAAGATAACTTTGGAAGATTTGGTTCCTTCTAAAGAGAAACCTACACCATCTATGGATTTAGACAGCATATCCGATGACGAATTCAATTTCGACTCCTAATTTAAAAAATAATCTCAAGAAAGACTCGTGAATATAAATATATATATATGGTGATGGCTACATTCAGAAATAATAATTGATTTATTGTTTTGTGAATAAGAAAATGATGTTCTTGATTTTATATATAATCGATAAATAATAAAATTTGAAAAAGTGGGCAATATCTTAGATTCTGCATTTCTAAGTAAGCTGATATTTTTACCATATTTCGGGTAAATAAAAGTGTCTAGTGACAAAATATAGTGTTTTTGATTTTCGTTCCAATTTAGATTTTTCCGCATCCTGTTTTTGGGGAGCCAAAGATATGCAGATAAAGTATCAGTACAATAAATAAAGCACAGTAAATATTACCCTTAGATTAAAACAAAAAGGGAAGATATGGCACTCGCGGCTTAAAAGTGTAACGCTTAAATTGTGGTGCATGACCACAATTCGCTTTAGTCACAATTTGACATCCAAACACGCTGCATATGCACTCAATTAAACAATATTGCGAATATTCAGTGTTATAAAGACAAAACAATGCCTTCGATGCTTTTAAAAAGAGCATAAATAGTTCAAGACCAAATAACAAATCCCAGGGCAAGACTTTTCATTCGTAAAATTGTAATAACACTTCGCAAGAGTCATGGCTTGTTTAATTTTCTTTAGTTATTCGCCATTCCTTATCAAGAAAAGGACAAAAATACAGCTCAGACGTTTGTAGAGACAGAAAAGAAAACTCAGTCGGTTGCCAAGCAACGTGGACTCGCCGTTTCGCTCGCCCTGCGTTGAAGCGTACTGTACCCCTAGCACGAACCAATATCGAATTCGTATTGTTTGCGAGTCCGAAATGTCATTGTCAAATGTGTACTGAGTTTTAGTTCTTTGTTCAGGCTGTCAAGGTGAAGATGGCTGGTGTGGCAGGTAGAACTGCTGTACCAGCTATCTTCAAGTCTGGACTGCACTGTTACTTAACATCAGGTGGGGGGGTTGAGTCATTTGTCGGACCTATCTATACAGAAATAACAACACCAGATGGTCTGCTTGTCTGCCTTGGAAAGCAATACAAAACTTCAAAAGTTAAAACAAAAAAAAAATATTCAGTTAAAAATTAACATAAATTTCTGTTTCAAACTTTCCTGAGTCTTCTTGTCCATTCTATCTATACCGTTACTCTTTACGTGGCCCACTAAACTTTGCAATATCTCCACCACATCGTTTCTTTTGCCTTGCTGCCATTGATTCAAACTGGAAGTCATATCGGTCCAGGCTAGAATATTCTCTTCATTTGGGGGCAGTGCTTTGTCAAATTCATCAATTATTTCTAGTAACATTACTGTACTCTGTATATATTCAGTTCCATGCGTCATAACTTTCAAAGGTTGATTCTTCAGAGCGTACAAATTCTTCGTTATGACTAACATCGCTTTTATCATACCAATGTTCCAAGTCTCCGCTTCCGCTATTCTGCGTCTGAAATTATCCTGCGTCGATTTCATCATGATTTTCGTGAAATCTGTAGCTTTCAACACTTCAGTCCATGCGTCGAAGCCCTGTCTTATTTTGTTATTGTCGCCTTTTAAAACGATCGTGAATATATCAACCATGAAATTGTTGAAGCCGTTAGATGTTCTGCATATTCCAAATTTGGTGCAGATGTGTCTGTATTCCAATGCCATTTCTTTGTCCACTTCTTTCTCTAGGACGTTTGATACCGTCATTTGGTTTCTCAGCGCTCCTTCTTTGCTCAAGTCTGAGATGAAGAAATTCACCAGTCTCTTCATGAGTCTGTTGGAGGTGTCAATGGTGTTCATGACCACCTTTTGGGTTCCCAGTTTCGTCTTTATCTTCTGGTTCAGCGTTTCGTTAACGAAGCTTCGGAATTTCTCGTCGTAACTGCGTGCGATGAAGTCAACTTTGTGCCGATACCTCGGATCAACCTTCTTTTTCATCGCGTCGAAGACTTTCAACGATTGCTTGTATACATGCAGAGTGAAATCGTTTATTTGCTTATCCTCTTTTACGGCATGTGGTTTGTTAAACACGTCTGTTTTGTCAAAAGGATCGTCGAGCATCCGTGTTACCGCTTTGTTGCCAACAGTCGAGTGCATAACATTTGGCAGATCCACTTCAAATAGTTGCCGAGCTAAATTCTTGGGTTCGACGTTGTATTTGAAGTTCCATTTTGGTCCTAAATCTATGACGCCGTCTAATTCGACAGTGACGCTCGATACGATGACTGGTATACCTGGCGGTAAGATATTTGCTTTAATGTTTTATTATTAGTCACAGTGATGTCTAATAACAGTGACATCAGGTGGGGTCATTTGTCGGCCCTATCTATAAACAAAATTGACAACAGTGTATCCTTCTCACTATCTATACAGAACTAGCAAACCCGGCGAACTCCGTTTCGCCACCAGATGGCTTCTTTTTATGTAACATTTCGTTTGGTGATTAAAAGAAGATATTTTTTTTATAATTTTTCCTGAATTTTCTTTGCTATAAACCCCACGGAGCCCGAGACCTTTCCAACGAATGCAAAACCGTGGAAATCGGTTCGTGCGTTCTGGAGTTATAGCGTCAGGAAGGAAACCCCGACTTATTTTTATATAGTAGATGAAAAGGAGAAACTGATATTAAATTTAGTTTTAAGTTTAGAGAATCGGGCCAGAATTTTCAACAATGTTATACATAGGTTTCATATGTAAATCATCTGCATCGCAACTGCAGCCGTCGTCACCTTTCGGCAGTCGTCGGCCCGATGAAGGATACTTTTCTTTAGATTTAAACACCTAGTCAGTGCCGTCTTTGACCTATTGGAGGCCCTGGGCATATTAGGATAATGGGGCCCCTATGACTTCCGTTTGGTGATTTAACAGGAACTAGGGACTTTGTATTTGATCTGAGGGCGCCCTCTATCGATCGCGGGGCCCTGGTCACTTGCCCAAAGTGCCCACTGGGAAAGACGGGTCTGCACCTAGTAAAGGTATTTTAATGCTGTTATAGCTTAGAAGCGTAGTGAGTGACACCTACAAGGCTCGCAGGCTATTGTCACCATCACCATAAGCCTATTAATGTCGCCGCTCCTGGTGCCTTCCGTATAGATGAAAGAGGAAAAACGGTTCATGGCCCACCACGCGGGCACTATTGGTGGGCGCCAACGATGGCTTATTGGCGAGCTTCGTTGTCGAGTGGTTCGTACGCCGGGTTTCATGGTTTCGCCGACTCGAGAGGTCCGGGGTTCGAATTCCGGTGGGGGCACATGTTTGTGTGATGAATACGAGCAATTGTACTACAGTCATGGATGTATAAATATATATGTACAGTATATGTATTCTATCCGTTACCCTAGTATCCTTTCCTAGTGCTCAATTTGGAGCTACGCTAGTTGGTGTAAGTGCTAAAAAAAATATGCAGCCGGGACCAACAGCGACGACTGCATATACAGCCGGGACCAACAGCGACGACTGCATATACAGCCGGGACTTGAAGCGACGCGTTCCTTTTGAAGAACGGAGAGGGTGAGAGACAGTATAATTTTTGTGCTAGAATGAATGAATGAATGATTTATTGTACACCATGAGATTGTAAATTACAATTAATTAAGACTATTGCATTAAAGCACAAACGGCGGCCTTATCGCTAAGAAGCAATTTCTTCCAGGCAACCGTATGTTAACTGGACTGTTACATAGAGAGTGGGAAGTAGATGGTGTCATTTAAAGTGAAAGTACCATTAATAATACTTTTAAATAATTATGTACAACAAAAAATAAAATAAAATACAAAAACATAATATATCCATATATAAACACAATAACAATTTAATCATACTTTGGATGACGTGATGACTAGCTAAAGTGTCAGGTAATGTTCCTTTAACATTTTTTTAAAACAAGGTAATGTTGTAGCACCTCTAATTGTTTCCGGCAAGGCATTCCACAAACGAGCAGCCTGAACTACAAATGACTTGTCCATAAATTTCGTACATAATTTGTACTCTAGTCATGGATGTACCGTAGTATCCCATAACACAAGCCTACCGAGTGTTGGAAATATTTATTTATTTATTAAGGTACTATCGATATATTGACGACTCTGTATATATCAATCAATACAGGGAGAAAGAAGTAGCCCTTGCTGATTTTCTTGTTGGTTCTTCTCAGTACAAGGTCTCCCGCCGTTGTTTTGCGAACCGATGGCGTAGCTTATTGACCTTCACAAGTGCTTGTAACAGCCTAGACTGAATAAATGACTTTTCATTTCATTTCATTGCTTCCTAAGTACTGACCCACTTGACGTTAAGTCGCTTAAAAATGGCAAAACAGAGATTTTTCCTATGTAGAGAAATACAGAATGAGCAAAAGCGCTTAGGAGCTTCTAAGAACAAGGTAACTGTGTTATTATGAATCTAAGACCTTTGAACTACCCCTGGTTGTGGACCATTGGGCCTCGCCTTAAATCCTGCCTTGACAGAGCTTCATATATTTGTTTCTCAGGTTTTCACGCACATCAAGACAGTTATTATTTATTTACCTCGTATTTTTTTAAATAACTTTTAAATATTTTTTTTGTTTTAAATAATTTTATAAAAGTACATTTCTTTACTCACATAACGTCAAGAGCAATTTTGTTATAAACCTCATATCTAGTAGGTAGGTAGGTAATTTTATCGCGAAATTTATCGACTTCCATTTATTTATATGGCTCTCGAATAACTTCCAAACAACAAGGCATTTGGGTGATGATATAATCACTTCTGGGAACTGATGTTGTTCTCGATACTCTGAAGTCTTCACATGCAGCATAAGCAACAAATTACTTCACGGAGCAAATTACAGGGCGCCACGGGGTAGGGGATTGGGACTTATTGGGTCACTAAGTGGGTAATAAATCTACCCCGTGGGGGGGGGGGGGGGGGGGATATTATCGCAAGCGCCTATAGGCTATAGTGGCCGCTTACTATCAGGGCCCTATTGCACAAATTCGACATTAGTTCGAAGACATGTCAAGCAATAAAAATAATGAATAAAAACTGAACCTACTTCTAACGGCTTAAAAAAACTGCTCGACAACGGTTATAACTAAAGAATTTTCACCAAGTGTTCTTAACTTTGAAGCGCTTTTCTAAAAGAAAATGTATGGAACTTATTCTGCAAATAATTTTAAAAACTTCTACGTCTCTTTAGCTATTCAAAAAGGTATAACACTTGCTATTAAATTGGCAAAACATTGACCAAATAACAGTTATGGTAGCAGAGGGTACATTTTTAGTTTGAGGTAAAAATAGCAAAATACGTAAATAAAACCAAAAAAGCTTAGTAAATATTTTTATAATTTATGTTCAA